TGCAACATGCAACATGCAACATGCAACATGCAACATACAACATACAACATGCAACATGCAGCATGCAACAAAACCTGATATCAATGATGGTGTTGGTTGGTGGTGATGATGATCATATGCAGGTGACAATGTTTTGTAACAGTGAAGATGCATGATCAATGAAGATTTGAGAAGTTTCTCTTTCCTAAGGGCAATGGAATTTACATTCTACATTCATATTACAGTACTCAGTGTACTGTGAAAATCATTTCCTATAAAAAAAAATCAGTGTTAATAACCTGGTTTGACAGTTGGATATTTGCGCCCAATGAACTTTTCTTTCATATCAAGGACCCCCATTTCCACCAAGCTGTCTAGTGTTATAGTAGAGCAAAGATTCCTGGCCTTCATATGTGTGATGTCCTCGTAAATCCAGTGCTTGACTTTCTCAGGTTTATCAGGATGTTTGCTATGGTGCTTCAAGATACTGTCGAACATAGCTGCATCCAAATATGTTTCAGTTGGTTTGTCAGAAAGCACCTTCAAGTAAAGAAAGAAAGAGTTAAAACATGAACTTATCATTAAATATTTTGATTTTAGTAATGGCCAAAATTTCAGTTCCAATCATTTTCTCTCTCATTCTCTCTTTCCATAGACCTTTTTGCTTTAACACTACCTTTGAAGTTCATGCAATATAAAAGAAATTATATAGAGGACAACAAAGTTTGTASTGAATGTGAATTCCTTTTTCTTTTAGTGAATGCATGTACATCAATAATTTCCCCTAACACCGTAACACTGTTCTTCTCATATTGTGCTTTATTTGCTTTGCTTGTGTTAGTGCCAGTGGGATACATTAGGCTTTCAACATGCTTGATTTAATAATACGTTTCATTAATCTGCTATCAAGTTACTGGTAGTACATCTTGCTCCAAATCTCAACACAGGAAACCCAGAGTTCTTTGTTGATTTGTTTGTTCAAGTACAGCTGGGCTCCCTGCGCAAGTTAGAAATCGATCACACTATTATACAGAGCACCTCTAATTTAGCAAATTTGCCAAGTTAGAGTGTGATAGCTAGTTTAGAAAAAGGCGAAAATATAGCTCTGAAAAGTTGTGAAATTTTACAGAAGCTTGCATGGTCACGGGGAGCGTGTCGTCACGCAACGCAACGCGTGACGACACTAAAATGGCTGCGGGGTTTGTGTTCCCTAGCATGCAAACTTCTGTAAAATTTTACAACGTTACAGAGCTATATTTTCGCCTGTAATATATCACTCTCAAACCTGGTAAATGTAATAATTTGAAGTGCTTTTTAATTCCAGCATTATCGATAGATTTTTGCTAATTAGTCTATGTAAAAAGTGTAAGAACCGTGGAAGGTTATGTATGGCTGGCAACTAAGCGGCCACCAGGACTCCAATCGCACTTGCATTCTTTTCAAAATCTACCGAGGAAGAACTATCCTCATCATTTCAAAGTCTGGCACATAAAAGTTTGTTAATTATTCAATCCTTCTAAGTAAAATTCTCATCCTCCGATGATTTCTGAGACCCCTACAAATACAAATACACTCACCTTGAAGACGATAAGATCGTTTTTTATTCCCAAGGTTTTATTAGGTACTAATTCTACTTCTCCTTTCCCCAGCACTACTAAATCAAGCAGGACTGCAGCAGCAGCACCACCATTCGTCTCGACGCTGACTTTCCTACCGTCTACATCTCCACTCTCAGGATCTTGCCACAACAAACAGAACGCTTGAGACAGGGTGAGTTTTTGCTCACGAATTTCGTCTTTGTCAAAGTGTTCCGAATTAATGACTGCCAAGACGGCTTTTGCCATCTCCTTCGCTGTTAAATCTACTCGGACACCGTAAGATGAGGCAGCTGCTGATCCTCCACTGTATGCCATATTGACGATCGATAATTCAAAGGGACTAAGATGTTTTCAACTCTCAATTCTCTCTGATTAAAAGATTTAGGTTTGGCTTGGCGATATAGGCTTCTGTTTACTAATATGCTATATACAGAGAGAACACTTGTTTTGATTGGTTAAGGGACATGTTGACTCTAATATGTACATAATTTAAACATGGTTGGCAGCCCAAGCAGTGTTTTTTTAGTACTGTAGTGTGCTCCCACTAAATCCCCGAAACAAATACTAATTTTTAGCACTAAATAGTGATAATTAAACAATAGAAAACAAAGGATTCTGTATGAAATAGTACTAATTAGTACTATTTAATGTTCACGGTTTTAGTGCGTGCACTCTACTTGCGTTTATTTTTATTTAAATCTTTAATTTACGAGGGTATTAACATAAGTAACCTCWCGGCTATCTAACTTATGGCCCTCAAAATAGACCCCTTTTACTGAGTCTCGAGAGGATTTGTTCTGGGGGGAGGGTACAATCGATGGACCCCCAATAGGGACCCCCATATGGACCCCCAATAGGGACCCCCATATGGACCCCCATATGGACGTGTATGGACCCCCATAAAAACGAGAAAAAAATATTAGATAATCAGTCGATAATTAAAAAATGAATGAATAAATAAATTAATAAACAATAATAAATAAAAGCAATTCGTGAATGGATGGATTGATATTTTTACAAATAAAAGCTAAAGTGAGTGGGATATGATGTTTATAGCTTTGATGTTCTCAATAAAGCTAGTTTGAAAATTATAATTCCTTTGATAAACAACAGATGCCATCACAACATCTTTTTTTTTTAAATAGATTTGATTTAATGAAAAATTAAAATCTTGACATAAATAATTCCTGATATTAAAATATAGTTACGACTTCAGGTTTTTTTAAATTTCTATTAATATAAACCCAAAGGTCCGCTGAGGGACTTAACGTACATAACTTGTGGTTAGAGTCATTTTATGGTATCTTTTCTTCAATACTGAGTATAAAACTAGCGGATATTTTGATAACGAAATACAAAGAAATGTATGGAGCGATGTTTATAAGTGTTATATGTATGACGTCACAGACTCCTATAAAAATTAAGTGAATAATTAAAAAATCGTTAATTAAAAATGTCCTCAATAATTTTATTTTCAAGTTAATRCCATTATCGTTGAAGTGCGAACCGTGAAGTTCAATGTCTCGTTCGCCGACTAGCATCTTAACAACCGTCAATCAAAAAATTAAGTTTTTCTTTGAATTTTTGGCCGCGCGCCATGTTGGATGATTTAGAAACATTTTGGTCACGTGTTTGCACTCCAAGAATATTCTGTGTCAAAAAAGCTCCAAAACTAGAGTAAAAGATCACTGACAAATATGATTTTGAATACATTCTTTAATAGTTAACAAATTTATGTGCACGATAAAATGTGCTCAGAATATTTTAGTCATGTCATTGTAGATATTTATTATATCATAGGCATTTCAAAAAGGGTTGGTCAGGGTAAGGTTTTATTTCATGCATAATAGCTGTTATTAAAGTCTAGTCTGCAATAAGATATTCTTTTGTTTTAAGAATCATACAAGTGAGGCCATCGGGTCCAATTTTTTTTCACTTATCTCATTTGCATCTAATTTGCATTATCCATAATATCGTCTGCTATTTGCATGCATATATTGCATGTTACCTACCCGGAGGGTTGTATACCAATACAAGCTTGAAATGTGAATGTCAAATAATGTCAGCCAGAGAAAAAATTATGAAGAAATAGTCCCCTTCACAGTTCCCTGCGCCAACTTGAAAGGTAGCCGAGCCTTTGCATCGAAGCGAGACGAGCGGTGAGCTTGCAATGATAGAGGCCTTTTTTTTAACACCTTGGACAATTATTCACATGTCTCTATATCATTGCAAGCTCACCGTTCGTCTTGTTTCGATGCAAAGGCACGGCTACCTTTCAAGATGGCGCAGGGAACTGTGAAGAGGACTATTCCATATTGTTGTGACCTTTGCCAGGGCCTCGGTTTTCAAGGGACGGGGAGGGGTAGGGGGTAGGTGGAGATGAGCAAGGAAAAGTATAGTGAAAACCTCCAACACTTAGTATCTTTTTAAACCCATCCTAAAGTACTCAGATTTTGAAGGTTGCAAAAGTCATTTTTCTTGACTCGTTCTTTAGGATGTATTCATTTGAATGTTGCGAATTAATGACATCGATATCGCGTGAGAAGTGTTTATTCATTTTCGTTCTAATCATTTTTTAAAATGTTTTTTTCAATGATTTTTCTTTTTTCTTTTTTCTTTTTTTAAATTTTTCCCCACGAAAGTTGGTTAGGTTGAAACCGGACCAATCGTACCGGTGGCTACGGCCTTGTTTGCTGATTGCCTTCACGGCGCCCATAGTACGTTAGGCTTTTTTGTTCGCGGCTTGCAACGAAACCTTTACAAAGCCTTTTTAAAATACTGTAGTAAATTAAATTGCTCGGTTTGAACGATCAGTGAATTTGTGCAGTTTTCAGAACAAGCATGAAACCAATCTAACTGCCTTGTATAGCTTTGCTATAGTTATTTTTGTCGTACTGAGTCAGTATAATTTTCTTAATAAGTGTTTGCTTGTGCATGCAATATTGTGCATGGTACTATTAAATATATCGTCATTTTTGTAGTCCGTAAATTATTTTCAGCCGGCCAGTTTAAACGGACTTCAAACTGTGCCAAAGCTAATGCAGTTCAACGTCATCACTGTAACGTCACGCCACGTGACTATCGTGACTGGCCATAAGTGATACCGTAATGCTTTGAGTACCTAACTTCTTGTCAACAGATCTATCTCTAGTAAGTAAACAATCCAATACCCTACATTGTATAGTAAGTAAGACAAAGGGAATATAATTCTCGCGTATTTATCTACCACGTTTGTCACTTCACTGTCTGTGAAATTCTCTTTGAAGCTTTCCATGTCTCTCTCTTTTTGTTTTCGATGTCTTAATCCTTCGTCATTCAGTTCGTAATCCCTTGGGTTAGAGACGTCACTGACTCCATTGAATCGAGTTGTCTTGCGAAAGCCATGTTTTTCTTCGGCCTGGGAAAACAAATTAATAAAAAATTTTAATTTTGTTTCTTAGTGCACTATTGGTCATTTTGCTCAGCAATATAGCGATGCAAAAGAAAAAAGAAAAGAAAAAATTCACGAAAGAAAAGAAAAGTTGCCCATAAAATTCACATTGCGAGCAAACACCTGCACTGCATGCATCTTTTTTAAATTGAATTTACAGTTTTCTTTACTATATTTAAAACTGATACTGACTGCGGAGAAATATGCAATTAATGATGTTTACTAAGCTTACATTATCTTCTGATAAGTCCCCTTCGAGCTAGAAGAAGAGCATGCAGATAGAGATTAAAAAAGAATTGTTAGTAAATGGTTATCACTTAGAAAAATAGTAAAAAAAAAGAGAGACGATTTTATTCAATAATAAGATCATAATAACCATCCCGAAAGATGTGATTTAAAAAGAAAAGTCCCAAAATATCTGATCTGGCCATAGCATAAGACAAGGACAGATGCTTTTCTAGTTCAGGGATGTACGTCTTGAGCATGTTATCCTAATACACTAGCAAGACGTATATTCCCACACTGACGTAGTTCACTTTTGGAGTAAATGAAGCGGACCTCTCCCGTATTTGCCTAGATTTTTCCGATCAGAATGAGTCCATGAAAGGACAAATGGTTCCCGCCAAGGTTGAACTTATTAACGAGATATACATTAGATAGAATAAAAGTCCAGTCTAGAGTTAGAAATGTTAGATGATCAGAGTGCTATTGTAAGAATATTAGCTATAGAAAAATAACTGGAAATATTAATTTAAAATGTCCGATTGAATGGTTAATTGAGACTTTAGTAGTTGTCTATCGACACACTTCATTACAGGCAGAAAATTATCATCTTAGGCCATATAAATACATTTGATCGTTATCCATATAAATGCCCCATGCATAAGAATGTTTGGAAGGCCAGCGGTAGACCAGTTTACACTTGGACCATGCGCCATTACAATTATATTTACTTTATTCTTGCAGTAGCTTTAATTTTATAAGACAATTTATTTAAATATACTAAATTTGAAGGTCAGCAGCAGACCAGTTTAAGCTTCGACCATGCACCATTTCAATTATCTTAGCAGCCTTTCTAAGATCAAAGAATTTATAATTATCTCTATACTAAATATGAAAATTATTTTCCGAAAGTTATTTTGAATACCTCTTTAGCATGGTTTGTATGTCCATAGCTCGTCGTGTTCATTGTGAGGTCATCGGCACTATTAACAACATTTTCGCCCTTTACCTTTCGGAGAATCGTAGTTCCGGTCTTACTTATTTTCTCGGCTTGGAACTTAATGAAAGTAGAACTTGGGTACTCAATAAGAGCGGCGAACACAAACGAAAACGAAATCATAAGAAACCAATCAATTGCCTTAACGTAGCTGACTTTCGGCATTGACGACTGGATCCCGAAGATCAACGTAGTGAGGGCGAGGACTGTCGTGATCCCGAGAGCCACCCGAGCTGGAGGCGAACTTCTTGGGATCCAGAACGAAACCCAGCTTAGAATGGTGATGAGGATTGTTGGTATGTAAGTTTGGACCACATAGTAAAACTTCTTGCGGCGAATGAGAAACGTCACTTTAAGAATTGTGAAACTCCCTAAAAACCGTCAACAGATAAAAACATAATGTTATAATATAAAAATAAAACCTTCATTGAACGATTGGACATGAAAAGCTACGAAGAGAAGACCGCTGAGGATTAATATGTTGGACTTTTTCCATGTTCAAAGTTCTAAACGTGTACCCTTTTGGGTGTCCTGTGGTGGAGTCTCTGCAATGGGGGTGCTTCAGCCTAGGAAGAGGAAGACTTGGAATGGATTGGGGTGAATAAACAATCCCTGAAGGAAATATTTTTCTTTCACCTCTTTTTCCAGTCGTCACCTAATCTCTGTCAAATCAAATGTAATACTTAGGTACCCCAAACTTCAAACCTAGTACGGTTTGCAAAAAGCGAATGCAGCTTTCAGAAAACGTTGGCTAGTGATATACCTGTGGTGTAGTTAGCCAAGGACTTTTCTGCAGTATACTCGTCCAGTGCAAACTGGGACAGAGTGACTCCATCAGCTACACCTACTGACTTCTTGTAAGGCTCAGAAGCCCAAGACAGAATCAGATCGTGCGTGGTCATGCCATCTGTAAAAACATCACAGTTTTCAAGTTAGATTATACCTACGTGACCAATAATAAAAGGGAAAAGTTCTACATTTCCATCTTTTCATGATCAGTCCATTTCCATTCTAGGGCTTCAGGTACTGCCTTCCAACGGCACTGTATACTCGTAATTTACTTGGACTCCGTACAGTTTTTCATAGGAGCATTTCTTGTGAGTAATTTCTTTGGTTTTGGTCGTTTTGTTATGCTTTGCGTGCGTCGGTCAGGCCGCAATATCCGATTGCTTTTGAGTTGTTTGGATACAACCCCTCGCAAGAAAGCGCTACAATCCGCACTAAAACTAGTTGCATGAGAGTCATGCATCTTCCCCTTCCAATCTAAACACAGCACAAACCCTACCACTTTCCCCAACTCCTTCTTCGCACTGTTGAGGATCAGCTTCGATTGGATGGAGGGATGTACCCAGAAACAACAATGAAGGGGAACAGGGAGTGATAAGAATACGTGGGGATCGGTTTATTGAAAGTTATGCAAATGCCAATAGAAATTAATGAAAGTGTTGAAATTATGACGGGGGAATCTCAACGGCTAGTTTTGGCGCGGATTGTAGCGGCCATTTCAAACTCATTCAAATACGTACGGTTCGTCAAGTATGTACCCCAAGAACGCAGCATAAATAAAGATACTTACAGCTTTCAAAGGCAATGCTGCATCGTTGCTTGTCCATGGGATAGTTATGAAGATCCATCATACATGCAGCAAGAACGGTCATCCTATGGAAATAATAGCAGTAATAAGTAGTATGAGCCACAGAAAGACGTTTTCCCCCTAGCTTGAAGTGCATCTTATGATATGATAAATACACACACTACACTCAGAAGTAAGCTTTGACTTTATATGTCGTAAATTTTGTTTCAAAGTTTGATAAAAATAAGGTTCGGTTTCAAAAGCTGTTGCAGATAACGTTGTTGACAACAAGGATTTTTGTATAGTAATCACGATATCAGGGCCCGGTCGTACAAAAGGGTGGATCGATAGCACTATCCAACGGAAAAACTGATTTATCCAGTCGAAAGGTTGATGCTGTTATCCAATAAATTTATGCACTGGGTAAGAGCTATCGGTCGGATAACGCTATCCCACCCTTCGTACAACTGGGCCCAGACGTACGGCAATCTTTTCTGCAACAAAAACATAAATAGCCTATGCGGCGAGGAAAAAGTTCCAAAAGTCATAGTGGCATCCCACATGCGCAACTGTATAACCCACATGACTTACAACAACACGTCATTTTAAAAATTTGAAAAACGTTGCATGATCGACACAATGGAATTTTTTAAGGAGCACAACCGTACGTACGTTGTGGAAACAGGCAGTATTCCACTACACTTTGGGGAAGCTAAGCACGGAGGCGTGATGGTGAGAGACCCGTGTATGAGTCCCGCCGGGCTCTTGTTTATTTACTTCTTACTTCGGACTCACCTCTGACTATAGAGAACTTTACCATCGGGGAATAATTGAAGTAGAAACTGTTTTGGCGGTGCAAAGCTGGACTTCTCGTTGTTTATGTAAGTATCTGGCTTCCATATCTGGTCCATGATGTCACCACTAATTGAAAAATTCCTGACTTTATAAGCATCCCCAAATGCCAGTCGGGAGTCTTTCCAAGTTTGGCGTAGAAAGAAAGTAGTTTCAAATTGCTATATATTTTTTTTTGAAAAAAACACGGAGCGTTAAAAAAATGACATGAAAATTAGTATAAAAAGGTACATTTAATATACGCATTTGCCATAATTACCATTTCTTTTTCGTCAAGCCCACCAATAGATGTAAGGAAAACATTCAAAGAGACTTCAACTGGATCTCCTTTAAAAATACACAGATATATATATATATATATGATAAAAAAATCATGGAACAACTGGTCGTTTCTCAAAAGCGAGAAATGACTCATGGAATGAAGTCAATGGACTCAATGGAAACGCAGAAAATAGCGGCGTTATTTAAAAGATAACAAAGCAGTGTTTACCACAAAGAGTTATCTAACATTTCGTAGGATTTAGAATTGTTGATTTTACTATTCGAAGGGAGGAAAACCCGAGGACTTGGCGAAAATTCCCTCTTAGCAAAAGGAGAGAACAACTCATCAAACAAACTCAAGAGGAGCATATCAACTGATTGCAATATCAATAGTTTAAAAAATCTATTTATGTGTGGTTGTCTCCCAGACCAGCGCCGTTTGACATGCTACATTATTTACAATAAAATATCACTTATTGCTACATGAATAAACTGATTAGAATGTGAAATTGAAAATACTAATAAACCCACGTGAAGAAAATACCACTTAAGTAACGTGGTTGTTACAAACTACCTTCAAAATTCGGTCGCAATCTTTTGTCGTAGAAAGTTGAGTCCAAAAGATCTTTCAGTACGTGCGATGCATTTGCGCCAGCCCTAGGGATAAATGGAAAGGAAGATTAATCAGAATAACAGACACATAAACTTAGTATTTTATTTTCTTAAGTCAAGAAGATTTTGTAAATTTTAATTCTAAAACCAATTCTAAAATAACGCCGACAAATATGCCATAGATGCAAATATGGCGACCAATTTGAATTGCTATTGGTCTGGACTGACTAGAATGAACCATTTGCGATATCTTTGCTACCTAATTTGTTTATACTATGAAGTGTATATTTATTCAGATTTTTAGGTTTGTTTGTGAGTATGTCTGTCTAATTCCCACGGCTACTGGAGTTTTCAACCATTGTTTTCGTATCGCGTTTTATTATTTTCCTTAAAAACTATAGGCTGCAATGAATCCCCTTTTGATAGAGTGGTGAGAACGATGCATAAAATAGAAGGGTTTTCAGTTTTTCATTGATATCGCCTATCAGAAATCTGAAGTAATGTTTTGTCATTCTAAATTCAATGGTTCAATATCTTAAATGCTGGTACCCAGAAAAGTAAATATCCTCGGTAAAATGCTGTCTTTCTATAATATATTATTTAGTGTCTATATTAATAGTTCAACTGAATACACGTTTTGCGTTTTGAGGGTTTGAAAACAATACGCTGAAGAAAAAAAAATTTTTTTTCTTACCTTGAAGCCAGTGAAACAGAACTATGAAAACAACCAAAAAAAACAACCAATGTCAAACATGTTAGAAATGCAGGCGCTGTCATGATTGTCATCTCAGCCTTAAAAACTTGTTTGAGCTCTGAAAAGCCAAAAACACAGAAACAAAATCCTCTCAGTACAACAGCGTAAGCGTAATATTTTCTCTAACAGTTAATATCCATGGAAGCAATACATAACTAATTAGTTTTGAAATCAAATTATGATTAGAAATTCTGTAGACTTTTACTGACATCACATAAAATTTCAATTATCTCACTTCCTACGGTGACCTTTTTTCTTCCCAGTAAAGGTTGTTAGAACTGGAGAGAATGTAAAGCCAATTGCTGTCCTCTATTATCTTGTATATTATTTAAATACAATAAGCTAAGTGATTTTGAATTAATTATATCGTTTCCTCTTAGTGCTTATCTCACAGTTATCTCCCAAAGGCGAGTAGGCGCTTTTGAACGGTTAATATTTCCTCATGCCTTTCATCCCACCTCTATGGCGGAATAAAGAATAAAGATCAAGCTGGACTGATGATCTGTCTTGGGTTTTTCATTTTATTCACACGTGTAGTACACACTTATGAGGTACATACATTGTGCATATTATGGCAAGTTTTCTAAAGATTCATGATTGTATTGACAAACATATTACCGCTCTTTGGTAGAATGTGTCTTTCCTATCGCGAATGTATCTTTCCATCAAAGCAAAACTCGCGAATGCACAGAAAATGTTATGTAATCATCGCTTTGGATGTGTTTTTCAGGTGTTTCGTTCCGTTCGTTCAAATTAGGCTTTCTTTCAATAGCTCTAATATTTTCATAGATGATTTATTCAAATGTTAAATGAAGATGRAAAAAAAAAATAAATAATACATATTATGAATCAACAAAAGTATTCGCCATTTTGTATTTAGCTTTTCAAGTCAGCATGATACAGAGCTTAATTATATTTAAATGTAGGCCTACATTTATCGGAAACTTTAGCCTGTATATATAGTTGGTCGATATACTTTCAACACCGCGGAACTTTCAACCTCAAAAAAACGCCGTTTTTTACATATTACTTGCTTAACGGAATCATATTTCTTACAGGAAATATTTGATAGATTGTAATTGTTGGAATTGAATATATGCGTTTTCTGATGCTTTAAAGGCTTAAGGTATAGTAAGAGGGATTTGAAACCCCGATATACGTTTCCTCATGAAAATACCATGGAGACTCAATAATTAAAACTTAAAAACTTCAGAAACAAAACGGCAAATAGGAGCTATTCTGTCGTTCAAAGACTTTTTAAATCATTTGCAGTAGGTAGACAGGAATGGGTTAAACTATGGAGGATTATAAGTTGAAAACAAAGGAAACATAGGTCTATATCTATTCGATTATTTTAAAACAAAAATAAAATATAAATATAAAAAAAATTCAAAAACAGTGTTGGGTAACTATAAATTACAGGTCACCCATCCAAGTACTAATCTAACTCAAACGTGCTTTACTCAGTGTCTTGGAAGCCCAAGTTTTCTTCACTGCTGTGGCGGATTTATGGGTGGGGGGGGGGGGGTTCTTTGGGTTCAAATGACCCCCCCTCCCCCCACCGGCTGGTACCTTGGATTTTTTATTTTTTTCTAAATAAGTAACTAAAAGTATGGTACTAACTCATGAGATTTAATATGAAATTGGTGGATAGGTTATCCTTATCAGGAGCGCCCCTAGGCCAGTGATGTGCCTCATGGGAAAAATGATGATGCAAGAGAACGTTATTGTTGTGCCGAAATTTGCAAAAATGAACCCCCCCTCTTAAAATCCTGGATCCGCCACTGCACTGGGCCACGACTTCAGGAAAAATAGCAAAACAAAATCCATGAAAATAATGCACCAGATAGACCAGATTATTTTCCACTTCAAATAAACGTGCCAGTGCGTGGCAGAGTGCAAGGGATTAGCTGTTATGGTCTGGGGGCCGGCTAGTCTCTCTCCTGATGCTTCGGCTAGAACACACTCCTGCGTAATCCGTACAAACAAGGGCAGAGGGACTTAATCGCCGTCATGTCCGAAGTCCATACGACGACCCAGCGGATGTCTCGGGGTATGGCATGAAGGCACTATTTTTTCTATTTTGTATTTTGGAATTACCTACCTATAATTAAAGTTGGTGGACGCGAGTTCGATTCCCACCGTATGAAGAGTACTTTTTTATTCTTATTATTCGTTTTTCCTCTTGACTGTTTTTTAAATAAGCGACTTTAGTGAATTCAAGAAAATAAGGATTTTATTTTCTTCTTCATAAAGGATGTCTACTTTAGTGCTATTTATATCCAGCATTAACAGTTAAATTATCTTCATTTGAACAAGTCGAGCTGTGCTTTCCTGGTTTAAAAAGAAAACCGGTGTCTGGGAGCTTTTACTAAACTTGAATTCTCAGTCTTATATCCTATCAAGAGAATATGAACTATATATATCATATTCTCTTGATTCTATACAGTAAATTAATTTCAGTAGTGCAGTAGTGCCTAAATTTCAAGTATAATATGTATTTATACGCTAATTATAAAACTCTATTAGTACAATTTCAATTGCTCAATATTTGGTCATTTGACAAAGGGCGGAAAGGGCGAAAATTCCATGCAATTTACTTTCAACATCGTCGCACTGCGTTTCAGTTTTATGACACTGCAGGTACCAATAAAAACATTAGGCGAAATGATAATATAAATAATGCATCCTATAAGTATTAAAACAACACCAGCTATGCACAGTATACACACATTTGCAAAACGCTAAACCATAGTTAAATAGAGGGGAATGGTTAGGAAACCTATTGTTATCAGGTCTTTGTTCGCTTTTGATGTTCAGGAACCGGTTTGTTTTATGCTCTTCCGAAATTGCAAAATAAGTAAACATAAACTTTGTCTATGGGATTGTTGTAAGAAATATTCAAATATCTCTTATAAATCTTTAAGTATTTTGCAGCCAAAAGAAAGATTTTTGTCTGTTCGCTCAGCCATTGACAACGATGGTAAAACAATGGTAAAACAAAGGATTGTGCACTGTCACGCTTGAAAAAAGTGAACAAAGACATATAACAATAGGTTTCATAACCATTCCCCTCTATTAACTATGGTTAAAACTGAATATATGTCATATGTGATGTATAAAATTGAACCGAAGAACAATGTCAAATGTTACGGATCCTCTCGGACAATTGTCGAAACAAAATGTTTAATAAACTGAAATTTATAAGAGTAGGGGGCAATGGTGAAAAATTAATGACAAACGTTTACACGATTCGAGGATTTTAGAACATAATAGTAGTGATCATGAACTGGAAAATAATTTTTTCTCATGAATTCATGAAAATTAAAAAATAGAAATGCGATCACAAATTCACGCGAGTACCACTTATCACCCGACCCGTGGGGCTGAACGACTGCAATGAGCTGAGTGCCGTGGCCATCATTTCTCAGGTACTCTGCAAACCTTTATTCTAATCTTTTTAAATACCCAAGGGGTTGGCTAGCCAACCAATACTCCTCCAACCCCCCCACTACATACATCCACACCTCCTCGAATATTGACAAAACGGTTTGACATATATGACTTAATGTGAGGAATGACAGGCAAACAATTTATATAGGCGCAAGTATCTCTCGTGCGGAGCCAGATCTCCCCAGTGGTTATCTTTGTGTGCTTTCTTAATCGAAATATCTCAATAACGCGCCTAAATTAAAACCCAACCTTTTTTATTGATTGCTGATAAAATCAATTTTTCAATTTAGATTCTCTACAAAATGATTTTTTCACCGCGAATAAAATACCCATAATTGCTTACATGAATAATACTACCAAACACATCACAAAAAGTTGAATTTCGTACATAACTTGTAGAAAAAATAATTCTTACTTGAAGCTTGCTAGAAAGATTATATGGACAGGTAAAGGAGTTAAATAAACAGCTGCGGTTTGTGTAGGTGATCAAGCGAGCGCCTGTGTAAGAAAATAATGGCACAAGGAACGATTGGCTTTAAAAACAATAAAAACGATTCGAGTTCTAAGGCAACTTCGAGCTTAAATTACTTGGTAGATGTAGAATAATATTCACACATAATTCAAAACATACGGGGTTCTGGACTGGACTGGTTTACTGAATTGTGCTGCTTAATGGATTTGAAGGGTTTCGAAATGAAGTATTTTTACATCTCATAATAATAACATGAATATTGTATGGTACTCAGTTTTAACCACTAGCCTCAAACCGTTTTTCATTTCATTCCATTTTTTTCTTCATGCATATCATACGATACACTTGAATAGGGTGGCTCCCATTTTAACTCTCAGGACCCTTACACAATGGCTACAATAATAATGATGCTCCATCGATCTGTATACGCAGTTCTTTCTACCATTAGTCATCAGTATACTCCACGTTAAATTCTTTCTATACTTTCGGTTTCCCCGCAAGTACGATGCCTGAAATTTTACCTACATATTTCATATTTTTACGTACCCTTATAACAGGTCATTCAGTGCAAATACCCCTTACCTTTCAATTCTTCTCTTGCCATACACTTACTCTCGTTGTTTGTTCAGTACAAGCTAGCATAGATAATACTAACAAAATCCCATGATCACTGTGTAATAATAGTATTCCTATAAAGCTTATTTCTTATTAATGAATAAATACGAAATTTATCAGCAATAAATATTTAACAACTAACCATTTGAAAAGTTTATTTTCTAGCAATTGAAAGTTATATACATACAATTATAATTACGAGAATTAAAATATYAGAAACTCGAAGAAGATTGCTCAGAATTTGAAATTTTTTTCATTGTAAGTCTTATTTTGATCTACCCTGCGAGCAGAGTCTCCTTTTACTCCTCTACGGGCTGCCCGCAGGGTAGTTTTGATCACTACACCAAACAATTCAAAATTACTGCATTTTCATAAACATGCGAACTCTGTGTCTGCGAGCTGCAAGCTGGATGAAATTTGGTTTTTCAATGCCGTCAATCAAACCTAATCAGTCGGTACCTTTCATATTTTTGACTGGCAGCAGCGAAAAAACAAATTTCAGCGTGCAACTAGCTCGCAGACCCAGATTCCGCATGTTTATGAAAATTGCAGTAATACTTACACGGAAAAATAAATTTAACGCTTGCGCAAAAAAAAAAAAAGAAGAAAAAAAAAAATCATTATGGCGCCCTTATCCGTTAATTTGTAATATGTTATTGAGGGATTTTTATCTTACCAAATCCCAATATTATTAATTACGCTACTCTCCTACAAGATGACAAAAAATTATATCTGTCCATTTACTCAGATAAAATGATCTTTTATAAAACTATCCATCACCTGATGTTAGGGTTACGTCCAGAAAACAAATTCTTTTGGTTAATTMTCGTTTAGCATTAATATTTATTTATCTATTAACTGTCATGCTCTTTATTCTTTCGGCTGTGCTTAAAACCATCAATAACACAAAGAAAGCAATTCTCAGTTCAAATATTAGTTTTAGCCTATTTAACTGAAACTTTTACATCAAACAATAATGTAAAACAAAGATATTTTAAAAAATTGATGGCCACCATGACAAGACATGAATAAAACATTGAAGGTCAGTCCTCTCCTCTCCTCTCCTCTTTTCTCTTAACCGTTCTCTTCTCTTTTCTTCTCTTCGTTTTAAACACTCCAATTCTGCTTGCATTTCTTTTCTAATTTGACTTCGGCTCCCTAATAAACAAAGGCAACTGTGCCAATCGAAGCTTATCTTAAATACGTGTGGCAAAAGCATAGGGATTTGCGGCTTAGTACGCGATTAAGGATAATCGTGAAATGTGTATACGATAAAAATGAGTCACCTGATGAAAACTAGCAGTTTGCAGTCGAAAAGTCGCGTTCCTTCTACAAATTACCCTCAATCGGGAGACAAATGAATACGCATCCGTTAATATAAATATGTTTTGGTCCCGATTTTATCAGAGAGTATATGTTATCTCCTTAATCCCACAATTATTTTGTCCTACTAGTAACATACCAACAAAATTAAGTGTTTTCTTAGTATATGCATCGCCATAATGACGTTATAAAACATGCATTATTTATTATTGGAGGGTAACTCTTGATACCCTATGGCTTGGGAACCTGTGACACTCATTCTCTGAACGACTGACTATATTAGAATTAAACCACTCAATCAGGGCACGCTATGCTAGTCTTAATTACCATGTGAAAAGAAAGAAAGAAATATTTGTAAGAAATAATAAAATAACGGGGTGTTTAGAAATTATCATTGGAAGATATTTCGGACGATCTCCGCCGTCAACAGGGGCGGATCCAGGATTTTGTTGAGGGAGGGGTGCTGCGTATAATGTTAACCCAGGGAGGGGTGCACCCCTTAGAATCAAAGGCAAAAACAAAATTGGTTATCTTCGAAGTAGGAGCACAAAGTGTAACCAGGGAGGGGTGCGCACCCCCTGAACCGCCCTCCCCTGGATCCGCCCCTGGTCAATCTACTGCCACTTTAACAAGTGTTATCATATACATTTTGTAGTTTTGAGCCAGGATGACATCTTGGAAGGTTCGAAAAACAACGGGGAAAAAAGTGGGCCCAGTACTGAGCCTGTGGTACACCAAACAGTAGTGGTTTGCTGATAGAGAAGGTATTTCTAATATCAATGAATGAGATCGATCTGTAAGGTAGGACCTAAGCTAAGACCAAGCTACGACTGTATCATTAAAACTATTGCGGGGATGACTGAAGTCTTTATAAGAGAAGGGCATAGTCAAGCGTATCAGATGCCGAAGATAAATTCAGTAATACCAAAACAACTTCACAGCCTGAGTCCAAGGGACTACGTATGTTGTTAGAGCAGTTTTTGCGTGACCTTGTCCACGCCGTGTTTATGCAGGGTTCGGGCATTTGATTGTAATGGGAGTAAATTCTCGTGCAATGTGATTGGGCTGGTGTATGCCTTGCTGYGTCAAGACCGTCAGTTTACGCAATACTGCCTTTTTTATGCTATAAAAATTTCTATAAGCTGATTGTAATTAATGTTTAAAAATATAGATCCTATGAATTTTCCTACCACAAAACGGGACCCTTATTGGCTAATAACAGGTGTTGATATTCTAACACTTACAAAGCCTGCTTTCTGATTGGCTATAAAAGATGTTCTATCAGAAAACCAGCTTTCTGATTGGCTATAACAGGTGTTCTATCAGAAAACCTGCTTTCTGTTAGGCTATGACAGGTATAACATAAGTAACAGCTCTAAACACGCAAATTAAGAGAAATAAAAACGAATTCATTCCTTCGAGTCTCATTGACTTAATTAAGTTCCTTGTTAATAATTAATAAACACCATGTCCTTACGTTATAACGTAACGTTATTCATTCCCATGGCAACTAGAAGTAGTTCGGCTAATGAGCAAGTCAAAATGTCTTAGGATCGCTCGACTACATTCATGCAGGGCGCCCTTAAGCTAGTTAATTCTCTTTAGCAAAGGTCTCGATCTTAAGAAGCCATATCTTGGATCGAATTCCGGCGGAATTTCTGTAAAAATGTCAAATGATTCCCTTGCTTACCAAGTGAAACTATGCATTAAAGCTTTTTGACATTATTAGTATTAAAATTGTAACGCAATTCGCTACATTTCTTTAAAATATGGTCCTTTTTTGCCTTTAAAATTTTTCCTTTTTTCTCTAATTTGTCTTATAACTGTCATAACTGACTGTAAGTTTTCTTCTTCTTCTTTTTTAAACCAAATTAAAGTCAAAAAACCGCCCAGGCGCGAAAAATTTAGTATAGCTCTTTTCTGACATATAAATACATACTTATCAGAATCCGGATTATTTTCTATGCCTTGAAATATCAATTTAGTCGTATGTTATTCACAAGCTTCTTCCAAGATTGTAACTACTGACATTTATGAATATTAACCGCCATTAAAAGTTCCTCATTATAAATATCGGTAGATTTTTTAAGGTCTGGGTTGTTAGGTGCATGCTACCTTTACTTTTCAATCTCTTAAAAGTTTACTTCCTTTTTGCTAGAAGGCAATTCAAAATCAAGGTCTTTGATCGACTAGTCTCGTACCTATCAATTGACGACGACACCGGTAAATCTTCACACTCAACTGTGATACATTAACTTAGATTAATATTTTTGCTCTACATCTTTTACTTATTGAGCCCACTTACCTTCAGAATATAAAGCTGTGAATTAAAACTAGTCCTTTTTTTATCGTGATATCGTGATGGTTTTGGGGAAATTACTAGTTTAAAGTTAAGACGTTGTCAAAGTTCTTACCTTGCAATTGGCGTCGCATTTACGTTTACATAAGTGAACCTGTGAATCGAGTGGGTGTTTTTTCTAGAGAATTTCGTTCTTTCCAGATTCCACTCACAGTGTTAGCTCTAATGTCGCAAAAGTAATTTGTATTCTTCTAGACCATTGACTAAGTTAGTTATTTTTTATTCTAATGTTTCTTTAGCGCCTTATTATTGTTGGGACTGTTGACGATGGGTCAGTGGGAGTGCTGCATGCATGCGTCACAATAAAACTTGTTTTGAGTGCTAGGCTTATAATTATTCCTTAGATCAGCTACTGTACTAACGCAACTGTTTTCTTTATTTGGATTCTGTTGTGTGAAGTCAATCCAATCAAAGGTCTCAATACACCGCCAAAAAAGCGCGTCAAAATTAATATGTATTAAATTTGAAAACCCCATGGTGTGCAGTCCGAATCTCAACTTAAAACACCGCTTTTTACAAGTTTTACGAACACTATACCTCCGTTAATAAACGATTTCTCTCTTTTTCCGTCAGTCCTACCTTGATTTTTTCAATTATAATTAAAACCTATGAGTTTCACTTTATATTTATTACCGAATTTGCGATCGAGAAAAAAACTTCTTTCACGGATCTGTCATCAATATTAATCATGTTCGTGCAGTTAGCAATTATTGTAGTTTTTCTATCTGTGCCATTAATATTGTAGTACAAACTTTCAATGGTGTCTGGCGCTAATGAATGTTGAAACCACGTTTTGATGCAAACCAAGTTGCATTGCTATAAATCCGTAGCATAAACCTTTCGGTTCTGTTATCCTAACTGCGTATCTAAAACACTGCTGAATAAAAGATGATTAAAATAAAAGAAGATGTGGTTTCAATCCATTGGAATTCTTTTGTTTTAAACACTCACACCTTTAATTAGCGTAAGGGGTCTGCTACTCTTGTGACGTTTAATTTGATTTTCCATTGTTAAAGTTAATCAAGCCACTAGGGTTTGCGATAGCTGGAGAATATGATGCAATGACTGGTAAAAATGAAGAACTGAAGGAAAAGAAAGGAAAGGAAAGGAAAGGAAAGGAAAGGAAACTGATTGATTTGCCTTAAATAAATCAGTGCTCAGTGCTGTAATAGTTTGCGATCTTCTTCAGCCATCCGAACACAGTATAAATCAGCTAAGTCTGTTCAGAATTCCCTAATAGCAGAAGGACCTTGGAACGTGATGGCGAAGCAAGCTCACTTTAATCTTACGTCAAACTGAGCATGCGCATGCATGGACGGAGAACAGGTGAGTTCTAAACTTCAGTTAATTTGTAAACTATTCATGAATTAGTGTGAGTTATACTTTAAACTTTTGGCGAAGGAAATTAGGTTCAAACCTCAAGGTTCTGGAAACGATTTGTTTGTCGTGTTTGCAAATCTTATAACCGAACTATGAGTCAATACATAATATATCACTAATTACCTGTCCGACTCCAATTACCGTTCTAGATATTTCGGTTTGTTAATCAGGTATTCTTATACCTTTTTTATTTAGTCAATACAATTCAGGGAAGAGCTAAGAAGCTAAACTACAAATGTCTAAACGGAGTTGTCATCTATAAAGTGATAAAATACCAATCGAAGTGTTGTTCATTAGCGATGACACTACTTGAAGCTACGATTAACCAGTCCTGACCAGCGTACACTGATGTGAAAGAGTGACCCATATATATATTAGTATACTGTTATGGACTATTGACTTTTGCCTTTGATTTCAGATATAAAGGCCGGCGGAAAAAAGCCGGCGTCACTGGAAAAATATATCGATTTGAGATGTTGGAAATATGTTCGAAGTTTCGACTTCCAACATGTTTCCAGTATCCCTCCAGAACTTCCAAGATAGTTTTTATGATTTAGTTTTGGGCACTTCCAACCAACATATTTCCAACATTCACTTAAATCCCAAACATGCACGCTTCATACTAACTTCCAACATGCTTCCCATGATATTTTAAATATATTTCGAACAAATTATTGTCCAAAAGGTTCAATTATTGTCCAAGGGAAGTTAGACTTCCAACTTATGCACTTTCTTTGAGCTATCAAAATTTAGGCCAGATTTTGCGACTCTACCAGAACGATTATTGTCTCAATGTGGTAGTATATTGATTCCTTTATGACGAGGACTACACTTCGTCACACAAAACGCATAATTAGACTGAGTAAGGGATGTTTTTTGATATCTGGATGGAAAGATCTAGAAGCTAGTGACATCCAGCTGGATACCATGCCACAGGTGCAGTACTCATTCATAGTGGATTCAATAGGCTGCATCAATCAATATAGAGTATGGATTTTCTGATGGATTAAAATTAATAACTTAACTTTATCACAAAGTAAATGAGATGCGAATATCTACATTTGTGATTGCCGGCATGTTTCGAATTTCGTGACTTGTCTGAGGGGGACGCCGGGTGAACCTACAATTACCTTTTTCCAGCTACCTAAAAATAAATTATTTTGATCCCTTTATGGCTATATGACTGCAAAGATAACTTTCATCTTCAACATTTGGCGTTTTTCTCGAATTCCTCTGTAGGCAATAGTAGATCCCATTTTAAATCCCACTTCGGCACACTCTTCAAAGCCATTCTGTCTTAGACAGTGAAAATTTTCTTCCACTTTGTTAGTCCCCGATCACCTTAAGCCATCAAGAACTAAAGCTATAACAGATCTTATTAGGTCTCTTGGCTTTTGTCATGTTTTTCCAACCATGGTATCCCTGTGGTGCAAATGATAATACCTGGAGACGAGTGTTCGTTCAAGCACGTGGAGAAACATGGCGGACGAAGGTGAGCTGAATTTACTGCAGAAAAATGAGCGATTTATTCCTCATCTTGGTTTTTTTCATCAATATTTCTATTGTTTCTTAGGAGAAAAGGCCCGTAAGAAGCACAAGAAGGATAAAACCAAGACAGACGATAGTGAAACAGGTATTTTTATGACGTTGTTATGAGAGCGCCATGAGGTTCTTATGTTGTGCATGTATCGCAAAGCTTTATGGTTTCTGATACAAAAAGCTACCTCACTAACCATCATTGAATACCCTTACTCTCCAGATACATAACAGTTAATATAAATAATCATGTTTTTTAGCCTTTATTTTGTGTTCTAGACCCTTTTTCTTCACTGTTATCGTAATATAAAGTTGCATTCGAAGCGCGTAAATATGCATACAATAAACTAGCACGTGCGTGTATTTACCGAACATAACCAAAGCACTTTCCTAAGAAATTATATACAGATATTTTTGTTCTTATTGTTGTTTTTGTTATTAATTAATTACGATTCCGAAATTGGATAAAGATTTTCTGTTGAAAGTTTCCTTTACTCGTTCAAGTCCTAAGATGCTCACTTTGTTACCACTCTTTTCAGTGCTATGCGCTGATTGAGACAACAGTCGTAACAGGGAAATAGGGTAATATGCTGCCGCGAATCAGAGAATATAAAGGTGTTGACCAATTAATTTGATTGACAGAAGTGTGTTGCTCAATTTCCCTGCCGCGACTGTTGTCTCGATCAGCATGTAGCAATGAAAAGAGTTATAAACAAATTCTGATAAAGTTGCCTGGCTAGTTTTACCAAAGGTAGATACCAAAATTTAATGTTACATTGATCTAAATGCCAAATGGACACTTCAAAAAGAATTGGTCATGGCATTGTTTAATATATAATATATATATGGTTAAAAAAATACCTTCACTTGACTATATAAGTTCATCATCAATGTTGACCAGTTCTCATTTGATGTTGAAAACATAGGAACTCCAAAGAAATCCAAAAAGAGGAAGAGTGAGGGTGACACAGGTCTCCCAGAGGTTAGTGGGAAAATTGACTTCTAACTCACTCTCACATACAGTACATACTGTTAAAACCGTACTGTGAATTGACCTTAGCAATCTGTAGACAGAGAATAATGCATGGTTGCACTGTGATATGATAAGTATCCAAGCTTACTGAAGCTTCTATGTTATGCGAACTTGGTAGTTGCTCTCTGAAATTTAGTTTTTTATTTCCGTGAAGCAGTCTTTATCTTTATAATATTTTTGACTAACTGGCGGCAGTTAAAAACCAAATTCCAACAGGCAACTAGCATTTAAGAAGTTTGCACAATATTGAAAATAGCAGTACTTACTGCAATTTATAAACATGCAAACTCTGTGTCTCCGTCAATCAATTAACCTAATCAGTCATATTCTTGACTGGCCGCACTGAAAAAACCAATTCCAGAGTGCAACTTGGAGCTAAGGAGTTTGCACAATATTGAAAATTGCAGTCATATAAATGTGAAGTAAAGTAGAATAAAATAATGATGGTATGATATTATTTGCCTCAATTTGTTCTGAGGATTCTTTAGAATTTGGATTTTGTCACAAGATATTTTTTTAATTGAWATTTTGTTTATCATCATGCTAAGGAACAGACTAATGGAGATTATCACCTAAAACCATCTTCCACCACTCCTGCACTGGACACATCAAAGTGGCCTCTGCTACTTAAGGTACTGTACATACAATGCTTGCTCCGTTCTTACTCCCAGATTGTTCCTCTCTTCTTTCCCTCCCTCTCCCTTAATCCCTTAGGATCTTGACTCTTCACATTTAAAACAATCATTATGAAATTGTGTTGAGCTACATGCAGAGGGATACTGTATCTATTCATTTATTTATTTATGCTCTGCTCCCTAATAGACCTTTTGTAATAGATTGACACGTGACTGTTACTGGATTAAAAAAAAAATGGATTTCCTTTATTTAAAGATTTTTTGCTGGATTACTAATATTGTATTGAAAACCTTTTCAAAAATACTTTTTTCCCTTATGAGATACTTTTGATTTCAAGATACGAAGCAGTTTAAAATTTGTTTGCCATCCAGAGAGCCTTCACCAAGGGACCTTGAGCTGAATTGATTCGTTATCAAAGTCATATATCATTAGGTGACTGTTTGTTGCAAATGGCCTATTCTTTGACTGACACAATGTAAAAATCCAAATCAACTGAAGTTAACGTTTAAAGAATCAATAATGGTTTAGTTTATAGGGAATGCCCCTAGGAATCCACCCCTAGCCTTATTACATGGTAGTTGAACACATATTCCTCCGATCTGTCTTATTTGGATTACCAGTTAAAACTAAACTATCATTGAACTACGATATAGAATTATGACAAGCTGAATGTTCGTACTGGTCATTTCACTCCTTTACCTAATGGTTGTTCGCCACTAAAAAGAGACATAAAGGATTATATTTCGTAAGTATTTTAGCTCAATACATGATCTTATTAGCTTTATCAATTTGGTTATGGCATTACACTTTATAATATATACTCATTCTAATATTAATTTTTATTATATAATTACCAATGAAATATCTATTTTTCTCTATTTCGAAAAATTGATATCTTCACACGTGAAAATAACA